AGAGAGAGAGAGAGAGAGAGAGAGAGAGAGAGGAGACTGAACTTGCTTCTTAGAAATCCATACCTGGTAGGGGTGCCTGCACGAGCAAGGGTGACATTTTGAGATCATGCAACCTAAGCTTGAATGCCTCAGCCAACCATCGATTCATATTGACCTTGCTTAAATTTGCTTCAAAAACCGTCTTCTTTCGTGAAAATGCAGTCTCAGTGTCCTGAAGCAAAGCTCCATACTTTCTCTTCACCTCTTCTATCTCTCTCTCACACTCCAGCTTAAGACGCAATTTCTGATTGAAGAAACAAAAAAAAAAAAAGTCAAACCAGATATGACCTGATCTTATCACATCATAACCACAATTACCTCAACTTTAAAAGAAGTGCCAAAAACCCATTGGGTTATATAACTACGTAGATTTCTATTATTTTCTTTTTTTTAATACAAAGGATATTTCTCTTCATATAGCGGTATTTTCCCCTCACTTGTTTCCTGCATTTTTTAAAATAATAAACTATGGTTCAATGTAGATATTAGTTTTAAAAGATATAAAAAAACAAAGGAATTTGTTTAATTTTCTATTTTCTTCAACTCAAATTTAAGCCTATTTCCCTTTCCATTATTTTTCTGTTCTAATTTACACAAGATTGTCCAAGAAAGACCAAAACTTCAAAATCACCCAAGAAACCACCTCAACAAGAAATTTACAAGAACGAGATGGCATTGTAACAAACACATGACCGATTCTTTCTTTTGTTCTTTTGCTCGGGTCCCAGGCTAGGGAACCTTTCTTGATTGTAAAAACTCCCTTAACAGGGACCATCGCTTGTACCATCCATAATTCTCAGTAATACAATGTTAACATTCTCAAAAAAAAAAAAACGACTCTTCACCTGTCAACTTCTTGTTCGAGCTTCTATAATTTTCCCTCATTAATTTACAGAGACTTTCTGGAGTAAACTTTGAAAATCTCTGAGAAATCACCTCACCAAGAAATTCAGGAGAACTAAATAAATACATGCAAACTTACGTCATCTTCATATTTCTTGGTTGCCATCTCCTGTTCCTTGCTGATTCTGATTATCTCATTGAAGAGGGGATCAGATTGACCAGGCTGCAATGACCGTGAGGCAGATGGGGCTGTTTGCACAGGCTGCATAATAGAAGCCAATAAAGCACTTCCACTACCAGAACCTGAAGTTGATGGAACTTCAGTATGCAAAGTGATCCCCAAAGATTCTTGCTGCAACTCCATGACAGGCCTTGAAGGGGAAGCAATGAGATTCAGATCTTCAAGTTGAGGTTGGGTGGATGGAGCACGTGGTTCAGGAGTCAGCCCACTCTCTCTCCCTGTGATTGCACAGGCTGCATGGTTGTTTTCTCTCTCTATAATTGTGCAAACTGCAGGCCCATTTTCTCTCTCTAGGGTCGGACCGAGCTCTGGCCCATTCTGATTCTCTGCGAGTCCAACTCCTAGCCCATTTTCTCTCTCTGAGGTCACACAAACTGCCCTCTCTGCAATCGTTACAACTGTTGGCCCATTTTCTCTGTCTACAATTGCACCAACAGCTGGCAAATTTTCTCCATCTACAATTGCACCGACTGGCCCAGTTTCTTTCTCTACAGGTGCAACAACTGCTTGGCAACTTTCTCTTTCTGCAATTGAAGGCCCATGTTCTCTCTCGGCAATGGTACGAACCGCTAACCCATTTTCTCTATCTGTGATCGCACCAATTGCCAGCCCATTTTCTCTCCCTGTGATTGCACCAACTGCTGGCCCAAGTCCCCCCTCTGTAATTACACCAACTGCTGGCCCATTTTCCCCCTCCACATTTGAACAAGCAGCTACGCCATTTTCTCTCTCTTCAATTGCACCAACTGCTGGCCCATTTTGACCATCTACAGTTGAACAAGCTGCTGGGCCATTTTCTCTATCTGAAATTGCCGGCCCATTTTGCCTCTTAGCAACATCACAAACTGCTGATTCGTTATGTGTCTCTATGATGGGCCTCGATGGAGAAGCAATATGATCTGAGCTTTCTGGTTGAAGTAGGGTAGCATCATCCCTTTGTACCATTGGAATACTCAATGGTTCAGGTGCTGTCCCATACACACTCTCTCTTACTGCATTAACTGCATGTCGATTATGGTCAACTGTTATCTGGACATGGTCATTGGTCACAAAACATAAGGTCATCAGTCAATTACATTAATTATGGAACCCAGATCAAGTTGCAGATAGAAAAAAATAAACTGGACAATGTTTCTGCTGTTTCCTTTTGAAAATATCAGAATAATATTTTCCTTTTTTTGTTGAAAGTACCGATAAATTCATAGAAATTAAGAACTGCATCAAGTTACAAGCAAAGAGTACAGACAAAATGAAATAAATGTAAGGCAGAGAAAATCATCAAATATATCCTAGTCCCAAAGTAACAACAAGAAACCACGCCCCCACCCCCACCCCCCTCCCCCCTCCCCTTGGTGATTTTCACCATTGACGAGAAGAAATATGAATTACTAGTAGATTATAATCCAGAGTCCATTTGAGCCACCATCGTCCAATGAAATGGATGGTGATGGAAAGAAGTTGGGACCCCTCAAGATCAAGTCCTGCTCTGGTCTGTCCGACTTTGTCCATCTCTGACCATCATTTCATTAAATGGCAACCCCAATGGACTATGAGCACAGCATAGCCCACAGGATTCCAGTATGCTTTCCCTTTGGCTTTCATATCCAGATACTGATAAACAAAATTTTCTATATCATAATCATTGAAGTAATTCAATGACAAAATAAGACTCTTTGCAAATTAAGAATGCTTACCTCATGAGATGGCTGCAAATCTCCCAGGCCAGGACCAGGTTGAAACTGATTCCTAGCAGAATCCTGTGATATCTCACCAACAGTCACCACTTCCACATCTCTACCGTCAAGACAGTTAGCCCCCGTATCTGCAGCAACTGTTACAGTCTCCATGGCTATATTCCCAGCTGAGACCCTCTGCTCTATTACGAGGTTCGATTCTTCGGCTTCTGCCATCAAATTTAAAGATCTTGATTTTGCTAAACCACCCAATGCCTGCATATCAATCTTGCTTTCAATAGGTGAACCCAAAACAGGCCTTCCATTCCTTGAATCATTTTCACCAGAATGGCTATTAGAGAAAGAACCCAAATCTTCCAGCCGCAAACCAAATTTAGGCAATGGGTGGTCAAAACAAGGCTTTTTCAATTTACCCGATTTTACAACTTCAGTCCATACAGAATACAGATGGTTTTCCTCATTACGTATCCCATGTTGACGCTCAAAAAGGTTTTGCTGGTACTTCTCAACGCGTTTATCCAAAGCATCCATTTTCTCCGCATAAATGTCTTTTAGGGACTTGCTTTTCTCCTTTAGAAGTGAGCTACTGTTCTTATACTTGTCAAAGATTCTAGTACCCTCTATCTCCTTCGCCCTCTCCAACTTTTGTTTCTCTCTCTTCCAGAAAGAGATAATTTCCGCTACTTCATCTTTCTGCTTCTGGAGAACATACTGCATTCGACTGTGCTTCACGGCATTGAGCTTTGCAATTAAACTTGCATTAGTATGAGGCCCGTTATCCTTGACTGACTCATTTGTGTTGGGATGTGGATTGACCTTTTCAGTGGGGACTCGCATATCTCGCTCACGTGACTCTTCTCGTATCTCTCCATCTTCGCAAATTTCTGCTTCTTCCAATTCATGCGCATCCGTACCACGCGATGATCTCGATCTATCATCTTGTGAACCTGAGTCAGCTTCACCAGAGAAAACTTGTCCACGTGTGATGTCCTTTAGAAATGGGCGAAGCTGCTTTAACTTCAAGTAAACAGATTCAGCCTCTTCCTTCTTGCACTCGAATTTTAGCTCACATCTTGCAAGAGCAAGTGATGCATCACGATCCATCTTGTATTTCAAGACGGAAGCGGCTATCCAACACTGAATAATTCCAATACAGCATTTGAAATCAGTAAAAACACATCAATTAGGTTTTGAATAAAAATTAAATCAAATTAAATTTTGAACTAAGAGCATATGTGTTTGTAATAGTGTATGATAACCCAGTACACTATGGAAAAACCATAAAGTTGGGTTATCACCATCCGATGAAATAATGATGCTGATTAAGAGATTTTGGAACCCACAAAAGGAGAACATGACCCCAATTTGACCCAACACTCTCTCAATCATTCTCCATTCATTGGAAGACAAGGGTTTTCCCATTGGTTCGATTGGAGTACAGTATCTTTTTGTTGATCAGCATATGTTTTCTTTATTTTAATCAACATAAGAAGTACACATGACTAGAACTGAACCTCAAATACCAAGGACTTAGGCTTCAATTTCTTAAACATGAAAATGAAAGAACTGATTAGGTCAGTCTCAATGTAGTTGTTCTAACTTCTAAGACAGTGAACATCATCAAACCACATACAACAAATGAACCATAAAAACGAGACTCACCAGAGATATCTGAAAGGCCTGCAATATAGTCTCTGGCTCCCTAGGGACATTGTGGTTGTTCATTACATAATCAAGGAACTCTGCAGCAATACTTTTCACATTTTCCTGCATGCAACAAAGAAAGGTTCTCATTTAGAGATTGAAATTATACATAAAGAAATACTAGGATGAAAGATCTGACTTTTTTTGTTTAATAAATCCAGATATTCACTATAAACTTTTTATCATGTTTAATAATTATTCAAGCATTAAAATCGCAAAAAACAAAAAATGCAAATTCATACTAGTACTAAAAACTAATTAATTTGTTTCAAGTAGAAAGGACAGGAAGCAGCATACTGGAAGGTGCAAGGTTTCAGAGAGCTTTGATAGCTCAGGCTTCATTAAGAGATGCAGACTTCGCTGAGCAACACGAATGCTTCTCCCATCTTCAGATTCTGTCCTGTGGATCCCAGGAATTTCAGGATTTGGCTTTGTTCTAGAAGTGGAAAGTCCAGGTACACCATGATTTGAAGCAGTTGTAGCTTCAGGTACTCCAGACATCCCTCCTGCAAAAACAGGTAATAGTCATCTCAACAGCACAAAACAACACTCTTCAAAATCCTGAAATTAGTAAGTTAAATAAGCATTGAAAATTTTGCGTATAAACAGAAATACTAAATTAATCTGCATGGGGAACCTACCGGTTTCTTCAGCTATGTTACTACAATAAGCAGTGTTTTTCGTAGCAGATGGAGGAGCAGAGCCATGCAAACCGATTGATTCTTTCTTGCCCTCAGCAACTGCCTTTTTCTTGTCCTGTAGCCAAGGTGTAAGAGTAGCTGGGTCAATGGTGCTCAATTGTTTCTTGCGCTTCTTTTTGGCTTCCAGGTTAACATTCTCTGGTTCTAATTTCTTCGTTGATCCATCAAAATGTTGAACTTTCTTCCTGGTCCTTTGCAATGTCCCAGTCAGATGACTCCACTCAGGAGATTTTCCTTGCAACAATTTGGACCAAAATGCCTGGGGTAGTTCACCACCTACTGAGTTCATCTCTGATTCACCAAGCAAAGAATTCAATCTATTATAGCCTAACCCACCACGTAAAACTCTTAAGACAACATTACTGTCATTTCCATCACTGGTTTCATTCCCAACGAGCATCTTATTCAACAGTTCACTGGCTACATCCTTTAAGAACTTCTGATCACAAGAATGCATTGTCCCCATGCTTGAGCTCTTCATATTACGGAGCTCTTCAAGCTTATTAAATAGGTATGTTGCTCCCCACATGAGTAACAAATGATTCATGCCACGGCTAATATTTTGGACATTGCTCTCTAAAACCATATCCTGCTTTGCAAAACATAAAACTCTTTCTTCCATGGTATAGGGAGAATAAAAGCGGAACACTTTCAATTTATCATGTGGGGAGTCTATAGTTATTTTCTGCAAGGCCCTTAAATCGTTCAATGGGTTCATATCACTGTCAAATATTATAATATTATCCACAGAAGAAAGCTTAATGCTTGGAAGGCAAGCACGATTCTCTAATAGAAATACAAACCTCCCCTTCTCCTTATTATTAAACATCTGCAAGACCGCTTGCTTTTTAGAACTGAGCAACCCACTATCTATGCGCTCATATGACTCTGCTCCAAATCTTTGACGTAAATAATCATCTAGTATATCCCCTATAGAGTGTGGTCCCGATCCACCGATGAGCTGCCACATCAAAAAGAATTGACAAAACATCAAAATTACCAATCCATATAGCACTTACAATGCCATGCAACTCCAGCCAGGCCTAGGAGCAACCAAAAACATTAATATACTCAACCAAAAAAATGAAAAACTAAACAACAAAGGACAAAGTTTCTCTGAGTCCCCTGACTCATATGTAGAAATGCGCCCCCTTTTAATAATCCAATTTTGAAATGGGTAATAGCCGTAATTTTTAAGGAATATATAATCTAGAATATGGAGATCATTAATATGTAAAATAAATAAATTTTAAAGCTAAAAATGGTAAACTTTTTATGGAAAATATTTAGACAATTGATTTCAATTATTTTGGAGGGACCACCATTTACATCTATCTTTAGGATGGATGGTTTACATCTCTGAGGAGTAGGGATGTGTCCCCCAACCCACATAACATTTTTCCAAAAAAAAATGTCACTTCTTTCAGTTAATGACACTGCAAAATAAAATTAATGGAATAACCAGTGTACATTGACAATACATGTGTTTCTGTCACCTAGTGTATTATATGGTTATACAGACATTTTTACTAGAAGAGTATTATATGCCTTGGGGGACGCAAGTGCAAGAACGCCTCCCCCGACACATTTTAAACTTTTCCAACAAAAAAATGTCTGCACAACTACAGCACTTCTTTCAGTTATTGATACTGGCAAAACAAAATTGATGGAAATAGTCAATTACACCATAGAGTACACTAGGAGACAGAACGTATGTACTGTCCACATTAAGAACCTCAAAATATTCCTCAAAAGCTTTGCTGTGCAGATAATAACAAGAAGGCTCCAGCAAAGACCATTGACTAATGATCATTAAAGATGACAGAAAAGAAACAAAAATGATATTATAGCACAAAGAAATCACATGCCTGAAACAGGATTAGCACTCTCTGACCATGGCTTTTCATCCTAGTAAGTACTTTGTCAAGAAGCTGCAATTTTCCACTAGCATTTACTCCAACATCTAAAAACTCAACTGGTGGAAGACCTTCCGTCAGCAAGCCTTGCAAGGAAGTATTGACAAGATATGGGTGGTCACAGCACTGCAAAAACATCCACCATTAGTCCACACTTGAACTTAAAGAAAACTAAAAGTCATATTGCTGAAACAATAACAAGAACAGGAAGAGCTATTAGTATATATCAAAAGCAAATACAACCAGAAAGTGCCCTTAGATTATATCCTTTGAAGCAATAGACCTAAATGGCGTCCATTCCAAATAGTTCTCATCAGAGTAACAATGACCATTTCAAGTGCAAGAAAAGCAATAAAATTTCAGAAAATACAAAACCCTTGAAAATCAGATTTTGATTCCAACGGACCTTCCTTGTTGAAATAAGAATACCCTGAAGAGCTCCTACTTGATCGTTCCTCAAATTTGAACGAAGAGAAATAGCATTAGAGACTAAAATAGTACAGTACTGCTCAAGTTGCACATCAGAAAGTGGAACAGGAACCCAGTATTCAATAAACTTTGAGGAATCTGACTTGTTCTCATAAGCCAGATAACGTGAAAACCTCTCCTTTAACTCCACAGCACTATTGTTGTTAGAATCATTTGGCGAAGATTTGCCAGAAACAGTTTCCACCTTAGCCTCAAGAAATGAAAGCAGATTGCGGTAATCAGTTAGACTATCCTGGAAATGTCCAAAGCAGTATAGGGTCAGTAAGCCAGGCAAAGAAGCGGTAAAAATATTGACACTACTATCACAAGAATACCTTCACTTTATAAATAACAGGAATACCTTTTTTATTTTTGAAACAAATCACAGGAATACCATTCCGTAATAAACAAAAAAAGAAAAAGTAGAGGATTACCTTCACTTGGTCTCGAAACAGAAGTAGACGGAAATCAGTCACAAGTTTCCCTAATTGCTGAAGATTCCTAGACACCCTTGATCTGTGGCATTCATCAACTATTATTGCTTCCCATCTAAGGCAATCCAAAGCCTCTAAATCCTGGACAAGCACACATTACAAATTACTTCATAACATAATAAATTGTATAACCTTCCAAATATAACCTAGAGTTCATTCCGATACATCTGGGAGAAGCATTAAAACTAATCCTTTTTTTTTTTTATGTTTACAGTACTCCATTGATTCAAAAATGTGCACAAGTATATTTCTCCTGTCCAAAGTGAAGCATATAAAATAAGTCAGCCAGTGAAGAATTTGACTGAAAAGCTCCCAACCAATGTTCAAAAAGTTGGCAGCCCAGCCACCTAATCGGACTTCTAGATAGATTAAAAAACCCCTAAAAACCTCGAATCTGTGATTTATTGATCGATTTTTTTTTATTTCTTTTGAAATCAAAAGCAATAGTTAGTGGTAGTTTTTTAAGCTTCTAATGGTCGATTTTGAAAACTTTTGGCAACCCAATAGATGAGGTTTGGGCCGATATCATTTTGATTTTAATATTTTTAGAGTATTATCATATTTGAATTAGGGTTTTGATTTTTGTTTTTTGCTATAACATATTATGTTGTGAATCATTTGCTTTTTTCTTTTATTTTTTCCTTTAATGATATATTTACATGTTTGTAGTTGAAAGATTGAATTTTTTTTGCGATTAATTGATTATTTCCTTATTTGGACAATGAAATTGGGCCTACATCAAATTCTTTTATGAAAAATTGATTCTTTTTGTACAATGTATGATGTTATCGAATTCTTTTATGAATAATTGATTCTTTTTTTGCACAATGTGTGATGTTTTCAGATTGATTCTTTTATAAATAATTAATTCTTTGGTGAAGTTATAGATGATTATTTGCTTAGATTGATATTATATACTCATTGTTTCATATTATGTGATTTTTGTGTCATATTATTTCTTTCTTTTTTTACATACTGTTTCATATCATTTTATATAATTATATTGTATCTTTAAATCTCATTGTAAAGTTTTCTATAATGACATTTGGGATTTCAAGCAATTTGATGTATTACAATCTCTTTGAGTCTGATGTATTACAATCTCTTTGAGTCTTTGTATATGTAAATCTATTCTGTGACTGTAATATTATGTTTCCTCTTTTTCACGAGGGGTTTAGGGCTCTAAAATTGCCCTAAAAACTCCCTATGGCCTAAAAACCTGCCCTAAGAGCTCCTTAGTCCTTTTTGTTTGGGGAAGGGCGGGGGGGGGGGGGGAGATCCCCTACTCCTGGGCAGGTGCCTAGGCGCCCACCTGCGGTTTTTTTAACATTACTCCCAACATGTAAGCCTAACAAATTAGGCCTTAAAAATGGTCATTGTCAAAGAAGTTTTGGAATTTGTTTTCCGTGCAAGGGGGTTTGCAAGCTAATTAGGACTACCTCCAAATATAGTGAAACTAGGACCTACTCATGTCGCTAAAATTATCAAAAATCTCATCAAACACATTTTGTAGCTTCCAAGGGCAAGGTTCTCTACCAGTAGCCCAAGTTATTACTGTAAAAGACTGCCCTTTAATAACTAAGTTCTTCCAGCTAGAATCTAGGTTTCTGAGGCCAAATTATAGCACCTAGGCCTCACCGTCACTTGAAATACACTCTTACACTCTCATAGAGGACCTGAGTAGGTAAGAGACAATTTTCGTGGAAGTTCTCTTACAAGTCCTCTGACTCATGCTCTCCCAGGGATGCCTGTTGAACTTCCATTGATGTTCAGTTTCACAAAGCCTTCAGGAGGTGGCACCCAGATGGAGATATAACTCATAAATTTTAAAAATGCAAGATTCATAATCGGTGTAGTCCTAGCAAGTGTACATTCGATCCCTCGTGGGGACTACCACTGATTGTTAAGGGAGATGCCAAAAACAAAATCTCTTGGGCTGCTGGAAATGCCCCTCCTCCCTGTTACCTGGCCCCGATTTTTTACGCGATTACGCATATTTGCAGGGATATAGCCGTCGTATGGAAGCATATCTGGAGGGTGCGAGGGTCCAAGCTGCAGATCCATAAAAGCTGCGACTTAGTGTAGTGACTTTTTGCTTGCCACTTCTCTAGATCCTGGTTCCTTTTTTGCTTCAGACCACTGATTACACTTCTTATCTTTTCTTGTATATCCCGTGTAATTGGGCAAAACTTATAAGCACCAAAAAAAAATTTGTACGTGTAACTGGGCAAAACTTATAATCCCCAATTTTTCGTACGGGGCTCCTGTTCAGTAGCCTATTTTTTGCCGAGAGGCCCGATCTGTGGGCCCTCTAGATGGTATACTGTGACCTTTTTCTTTTAATACAACAGTTAACTTACATCAAAAAAGAAAGTTATTATCAAACACAAAATGCAAATATGTTAAATCTAACCACTGGAATCACTTAGACATGCCAACCACCCTAGTAAGGTTTCAATTGGGAGTGGTTATCCCAACAAATGCCTTTTTGACGTAAATGCATTCTGCCAGGCTCCAAAACGCACACCATACAGTTGAGCCAAACACACCCTTACACCAATTCTTGACTACCTTAAAGTCTGGTGTTACACCCCGTACACTGTCTCAGAGGGTTTCCAAACACTACTATTAAATTTTGCAGTAATTAGCCATTTGTGTCCCACCAATTCCCCAAATGTCCGTAAAAGTAAATCTTACAAACTTATAAAGATGCAGAAATAAATGAAAACGAGTACCTCAACAATAGCATCAGAGGCAGATACGAGCACCTCAAAAAGCACACAACCATTTTGGCTATAAAATTCTAATGTTCGGATGCTTTCTCTGACATCCTTGCTACCACTGTAGACAACAACATTTACAGAAGAGGCCAGACGCATGAACTCTGATTCCCAAACAGAAACTTCACTGGAAGTCGTGACAATAAGAACAGGACAGCATATATCAGATTGCAAAGACAAGATGAAAGAGATCACTCTGGCTATTCGTTCCTGCAATCAAGGAACAACAAGTCAACACATCGGATAAAGGATGAGCATATCAACATTCAAACTGCAAAAAAGTTGCAATTGCTCATCAACATTCAAACTGTGAAGGAAAGGCAAAAAAGTAGCAGACACATAACCAGTATTTACCAAGTAAAACCTAGACAAATTTAGTACCCTAGGGTTTTACAAAGCAAAGGAAAATTAGACGTAGAAAATGAAAAATGGACCAAGTCACAGTCCACTAGGTTTCATTAGAATATGAGATATGAGTGCATGTTTATCGTTCGTTCATTTGTTGAGTGTGTCTTGGACTACAGTGACACTCAGTGCTACAATACGTTGTATACTACAAGGACTTTATACGATATTAACTCGTACAATCTGCCTCAAGTTAGTGCATGGATGTCAAGAAACTAATCATGTCTGTTAAAGCCTTTCCCACTCCTTCAATAAAGATGTCTGATGGCTGATATTTGATCTTCATATTTAAAGTACATATGAGCTATCCAACCACTATTTCTTGAACAAAGCGGTAAGCGACCTCAATATGTTCTGTGCCATCATGAAAAAATGGGTTTCCTCCCTGCCTGGTTATGACAATAAAGTGAATATTTTATTGTTTTGAATAAAACACAATAAGGCAGTTTTGGTGGGACCAATGTTTCAAAAAGCGTTAGGCAGCACCTAGGCGATTCGGGGGGTCCAGGCGCCCAGAGCCTAGGCAGGTGCCCAGAATCTAGGCGGCTCAGTAGAAAAAAAAAGTTGGGTTTTTCTCACTCTAAAATAGGCTCTAATGGGTTCTAGGTTTCAAATAAAACTAAAACCCACAATGTTAGCACCTTTAGTATTAAAAAAATGTCCCAAAAACACCCTCAACGACGGGCATTTCCACCCCTGGGCAGAGCATAGGCGAGCCTAGGGATATCCGCTTTTTTTGGGCACTTAGGCCTGGGCGATGCGCCCAGGCCCCCAGAACCGCCTTGGCGGCCGCCTGGGCGCTGGGCGGTCCGCTTTTTGAAACACTGGTGGGACAAGTTTGACTCCCATATCAAAAAGAAGTGCTCTTGATCAGATAAAGTCCAAGTTGCAGAAGCCCTGGCAAGATAGTGTATGCACTAGAAGGGGCGACAACGTGCCATTTTCTACTTTTCCAGCTCACCAAATTGGCTTCAACAAATATGCAATATGTTGTGGTAGAATGTCTGTCAATGGGACAGCTTGCCCAATTGGCATCAGAACATCCCACTAAGTTTTGCATTACCCAAAACAAAGTCCCTTGCCAGGAAATGATTTGCGGTAGCGCAAGATCTAATGAAAACACGTGTATATGTAGATCGGGATGCATGCATGAAGTGACTAACCCCGCAGCATGAGCAATATCAGGTCCAGTAATAGTCAAATGGATGAGTTTGCTAACAAGCTTGATATAATCCTACATCTTCCAAAGTTGTACCAAAAATGAGATCCAACTTATTGTTAGAATCTATAGCCAAATTAATAGGTTTCAATCTCAGCTTCCCAGTTTCTTTAAATAGATGAAGAACATATTTGACACTGAGAAATAAAGAACCCCCGTCATGATTGAGCCACCTCAATACCAACAAAATATTTGAGAGAGCTTAAATCCCTAATGTTAAACCTTTTTTTCATCAATAGGTTTGGGGGGGCTGGAGGGCTCCTCTAAAAGTGTAGGCAGACATTGCACAATATACTTCATCCAAATCACCATCACGGAAGGTGTTCTCGACATATCCCATATATAAGAGCCACCTCCAATGATTCAAAAAGCGGACCGCCCAGGGCCAAGGCAACCCGCCTAGGCGGTCTGAAAGGCCTGGGTGCATCGCCTAGGCCTAAGCGGCCAAACTGGGCGGTATGGAACCCGCCTAGGCAGGCGCCCAACACCCAGCCCTGGGCGGCCACCCAGGGCTTGCGCCTCGCCCAGAGGCGGAAGTGGGTTTCGGTGGGGGCATTTTTTGTCCATTTTTTATATACTAAAGAGCCAAAACTTGGGGTTTTAGGTTCATTTGAAACCTAAAACTTATTGGAGCCCATTTTAGAGAGAGAGAGCCCCCAAAAAATTAGTTTTTTGTGAATTCTTTAGGATCGAAGGGTTTCTCAAAGTTAACAAAAATTGATCAAACAATCACCCATTGATATTAGATTTATTTTTTGATGTTTTAGAAATCTATTGGGGGTTTTTTAGAAGATTTTGAGTCTTTTAAAGCATCTTTGAGGTGGAAGTTTGAAGATTGAGCAATCAAACTCAAAGT